GGTGGGGGGGTGGGCGCTGGGCCGAACGAGCTTGGCGTGGCCGGGCCTCCCTGGGCGGCGATGGGGTCAGGAATGCGGGGGCTGCCCTGGAGCGAGGCCTCCCGGGAACGCGCGCGGGAAGCTCGTGTGGTGTAAGGTGTGTTACAGTTCCCTTTCATAAGATGTGGGGAGGATTCGTGCACTTTCACAAAGGAAAGCCGCCTGGAACTGTCGCTAGCGTTCTGGGGGGCTTCCTGGTCAGATATCAAGCAGTAAAAATATAAACACTCTGGTATCGTATCAGAGTTCTTATTAGATTTTCATGAGCATATTTCTGTTGCTACTAGGGGTTTATGGATGCAACTTCCTTTGAGGCTGGGATGATGCTGGTGTTGCAGGATTATAAAGGTGGTAGCCACACTTCGTCCACTTTTCTTCACCATCCCTTAGTTGGTGTTGGAGACATGAGCCAATGCTGTGTTAAGGGTGAGATTGTGCAATGTAATCTAAAGGCCATAAAATAGCTTCCAATAATTTGGGCCTGTGATATGTTATTCTCCTGTGTTGTTCTGAACATTTGACGTTTTTGGTTTTTTTTTTAAGAAACTTTGTCTTGAAAACCTGGTTGCTAAAGACTTTGGAGATCTTAGCTCTGTGTGTTTGATGTGGAAACTGATACTACTTTGAGGAGCTCTGAAGCTATGATACTGTCCTGGTTTGAGCCAGGATGAAGCCTGGCTCAAACCAGGACAGATACTGAATGTCTTGCTCTTCAGAGCTCATAAGTGATGTGATAGCTGGGCCAATACCTTCCAAACAGGAAATGCTGAGTGGATCGGTTTGGTGCATCTTTTAAAATGAAAGATGGTAGATGCAGATTGGACATAAGGAAAAAAATTTTAACAATGAGGATGGTGGAACAGTGGAACAGGTTGACCAAAGAAGCTGTGGTTGCCCTGTCCCTGGAAATGTTCTAGGCCATTTAGGATGGGGCCTGGGCAAGTTGGCATAGCAAAAGGCATACCTGCCCATGGCACGGGAATTGGACTAGGTGGGCTTTAAAAGTGCCTTCCAGCCCAAACTATTCTGTGATCTTCAGAGGCAGCATACCTGGGTTTCTCTTGCTTTACAATAGCTTGTTAAGAAATAAGAGTTAGTGCACTATGTGTGGGTTGTGTTTCAGTGATGTTTCTCTGCACTAATAATACCCATTTGTTAAGGGCATTAATCTCTCTTAGCACAGCACATTCTGACGATGGCTTCAGCATGAGTTCAACTTACTGCAAATGTTTATGGTGTGAGCTCAGCTGGGGAGGGTATCCAGGTTAAGAATAAACCTAGGAGAAAGTTTAGGTTTTTACTGGACTTGTTTGTTCTCTAAAAGTTGCGTGAGCTCAGGGAAGATGGGATTGTTCAGAGGGCCTTAGGGCAGAGCTAGTTTGTGTTGGTTTCAAATACCTGTGGTCTTCTAAGTATGATGTGAGTTAATTGTAACTTGTGTCAGAGTTCACAAAAGATCCTGTTAGTGCAACATTTACTGAACAGTGAGAAAAACTGAATGTTGTGGGTGGGAAATAATGTAAATATTTGAAAAAAAGTGTATCATGGAGCATCTTATTGTTTTACTGAACTTAGGCCTTCCTATACTCAGTCTTCCCAGTGCTAATTTGAATCGTGACCGTTATTGCCCTTCCTAAAAGACCAAACTTTGACTGTGAAGAATTTGTCATTCTTTTGGTGGGAAATGCAGTTGCTTTTGACATCCCATGGCAGAATCTGACCTGTAAAACATTAGAGGTACACTAGCTGCTTTCTTTTTTATTTTTCCCATGGCTGCATACTGTGAGAAGTGCTTTTTTCTTTTCCAACAAGTAGGGAAATTCGATAACAGTATACAAAGCTTTCTTATTTTAGAAAAAGACCCTTGGTTTAATAAACAGGAAGAGGTGCATCCCTCCTAGGTTATTTCTTGGTGTTTCCGTGTTCTTTTATGTTGGAGTGAGTCTTTTTAGCTGGTAATATTATTTATTTTTACCAGAGAACAGAACAAAGATACATGGCAATAAAGATTTCTTATTTTTCGTCTTGTGTTGAGTCAGTAGTGTGACCATCTGGGAGAGGAGGCAAATGTGATCCTCTGTACCAGGGCAAGATTTCCAAGGAAGCAGGAGACTGTGCAAGATATGTCCCTGTACAGGACATGAGTGGGTTTTATTCAAGAATTCTTGTGTGCAGTTCTAGTCACCCATGTTTGTCACTTAGTTTACTGTTGGAACAAATGACTGGGACAAAAGGAACTTACCACAGCACAGAAGGTTCAAGGTAAATGTAGATAAAAACTTCTTTACTCTGAGGGTAAGGAAACAGAACCAGCTGCCCAAAGAGAGTGTGGACTCTCCTTCTCTGGAGACATTCCAAACTCTTCTGGTTGTGTTCTGTGTGATCTACTGCAGGGTGGTTGGATGAGGTGATCTTCAGAGGTGCCTTCCAACTCCAACCACTCTGTGATTCTGTGACTGGATGCAGAGGCAATTTGTTATTCCCCAAGTTTGACAGAGAGGTGAAAAAAAGAAAACTAGAGAGGTTGATAATAACAAATACACATCAACTGGGCTAGATATGAGTAGAAAGTTTCTACTATTGGACAGTTGGGTGCTGAAGAATTTTTTTAGTGGAGATAAAAACACATGCACCTTGTTAAACTGTTGGATAATTTTATAACATGATAGCTGGGATAAGACTCTGGACAAGGTAACTCAGGCCAGTTACTTTGAGCTGGATGCAGTCTTGTTGCTTGCCATGTTTGTTTTAGTAGTGAGATTTAAAGACCTCTTCAGTTTGCTCATTTTCTGTTGTGTTTTTAAAGGTGGAGTATAGAGAGATGGATGAAAGTCTTGCAAACCTGTCGGAAGATGAGTATTACTCTGAAGAAGAGAGAAACGCTAAAGCTGAGAAAGAGAAAAAACTACCACCACCACCTCCACCGGTTCCTGCAGAAGAAGAGAATGAAAGTGAGCCAGAGGAGCCATCTGGTGAGTAAAGACCTCTTCGGACACCACTTACCTGTTTTAATGCCAGAAGTTAAGCAGGGTCCAGTGCAGCATTATGAATGCTGCGTCTGATTTTGATCTGGTCTTGAATTATTGTTCTGGAGTGTTTTCTTTGATGGCCCCATATGTGGAAGGAGGGCAAAAATGCAGAATAGCAGCCTGATAAAGATGGGAATATGCACCATCTAATTCCAAATTAACCTAAGTCTCTCATACTAGATTCTTGTGATCCTTATTGTCTCGTCTTTGGAAACTTATTGACCAGAATAGCCTCTTTGACACTTAGCCGCCGCACCTGCTGGGGTACCAACATTCACTTGTTCTTCTGAGAGAAAAGAGGTTAGATTTAGGGGAGTTGCTATGAAGGAGAACAGATTTAATCTACAATGATTGTACAATGGCTGTAAACTATGACTGTAAACTGAAGTCTTGGTTAGACACTGGTTGCTTAAACCTCAGTGCTTTCCTCATTACCTTTGACAAAGTTGGAGAGCTTCACTTTTACATTGGAAAGTTCTTTGTTCAGGAGCCAGCTTTTGAAAATGACAAGATTAGCAGTACCCTGTCCATTCTTTACCTCTGCTGTGTATACAGCTGCCACTCTTAGGTCTGGTGTTGGTGTATCGCTCTGCTATTTACACAGTCATGCTGTTGCAGAGTTCAGCTGTCAGAGAGTTTTCATGAGATGTATTGTATGCTAGTTGATTTTAGACAATAGCCAAAATCTAGTAATTGAGCTTTTGCTGATTCATCACTGATGTGAATAATTGTTAGTGTTCAGTTCTACTGCTCTCAATTGGCTTCTATTTGGCTGACAGATCTGCAAATGCAGACAACAGTACTGATGTCAGTTTGGGGATACTTTCAGAAACTATATTAAAAGCCACAGTTGTTTTATCTCTTAGGATTTGCCCCTCTAGTATCTCTTTAGTTGTGGTTGTTGACTCTTGGTTTGATACAGGAGTACTACAGCTCATACACTTGACTGAAATATTTGCAATTGCAAAAGTCTTCCGTGCCCCCTGTTTGTAGCTGATGTATCAAAAATGGAATTGGAATGGGTGCAATTAAGTGAGTAACTTAATTTTACTACTTAGTTTACCTCCTTTGGGTTTCATCCTTGAGACCTCTTTTTGATATTTCTTAGATGCCATTTTATGCCCCTAAGAAAGATTACTGAAAAAGTGTGAGGCATAGTCAGTCAAGTACAGTGTTTTATCCCACGAAGGAAGAAATGTGTAAGATAGGCAGTGATGTACTCATGCTGTTCTATAAACACAACAGTCTGTTAAGCAGTTATTCCACAAGCACTATATTTAGTCATCTAAATATGACCAATTTTAAAACAGATTCTATCCAACTGCCTAGAAAAAAGATTTGTCATCATATCCTTTCTCCATTACTAGCAAATCTGTGCTAGGCATGTAGCAGTGATGGTGGAAGATGACAGATTTTCAGTTGTCATTCCATAGCTAGTTTTGCTGTATTTTTAAAGGCTTCTGAAATGATATACATTGGAGGATCTCTGTCTTTATTAATGCAGCCATCAAGAACATCAGACCATCTTATCCTGGCTGTTAAAAGGCATTGAAACTTTTAATCAAACAACCATTAGCAGGAAGAGGCAAAGAGTCTGCTGTGTATTGAAGCACTGTTGATAACTGAGGTCTTCTCTCTCTATCATTTTAAAGCAAAAATATGTGTCCTATAAGAAATATTAAATAGGGCAGCAATACTAGAACAGGATTACATATTGAAAAATGAACCTATAAAAAGTTAGTTTGTTAATGTTAATTTTGTCTCATTGCAGACTGTAATAGTTTCCTTTTATGCTTAAAACCTGCAGAAATGCAGGTAATGCAGCAGAGGTGTGAAGCTGCCATGTTATAGGTTATGACCATTTGTATTGAAAAGCCTAATTGTGCACACTTCAAAATGTAACAGTGACAGTAGATGGTATTTCATTACACTGTCCTGTCAGACAGTTTACTGTGTAAGGAGGTTAAGTATGAAACTTTAGGTGACAGTGAAATACTTGGTCTTTGGGGTAGATTCCATTAATGTGTTTGACTGTGGGGAATTCCAGAAGTTTAAGCTATGCAGATTGCTATAGTCTAGGTTTGCAAGATTGACTGCATATTACTGCGGAACAATTTTTAAAGGTGGACAGTATTATTAATACAATTTCCTTAAAGTATCTCTCCTTTTTTATTTGAGAAATATTATTTGGTAGCAGAAAACTTCCAAACTCAACATTCAGTGCTGAATGACATTTGTGTGCTTGTTTGCCAATATCCTTTTAGAAATTAAGGAGCTTGCTGCTTTTTTTTTTTCTCCTCTGAAGATCCTTTTTGTTTGCCCTCACCAAATTGGATTATTGTTTTTATAGCTTCCTGAAGATTTTCTTCACCAGGTCCTGTCTTTTTAGTTTTGTTAGTATTCTAACTTTGTGGTAATCATACGTTTCTGGCTTCTGTTTTCCAAGTAAGTGTGAGATTGAATATGATCCTGATGAACATCAAGTGAATTGTCAAATATAGTGATGCCCTATTTCTTTCATCTGACTTGTCTGTTTTCCTAACTAAACGTCAGTACTCAATGGTCATCATATGCTGCTATTCTTTTATTTGTAGGCAGTAGATGATTGTATGAAGTGGACTCCTTTGTAGACCTTCCCATTTGTAATACAGCTCATGGTCTGTTCTTCTGTTGCACTGAGCCTTTCAGCACCAGTTGTGAGCAGCTGCAATAATGTGATGTTCACATGTGCCAACAGTTAGCTTGCTGGTTTGCTCCTTGCAGCTGGAACGTGACTTCTTTACAGGCCAAAAGAGGAGATCTGCACTAGCAGGACTTGTTTTTTGCACATCTGTGCTCTGGGGAGAGTTCAGAATTGTGTCCAAGCAAGTGGTAATAGTGATGCCTTTTTTTTTTTTTTCTTTTTTGACCTAACATTGAAAATGGTTTAACTGGTATTAACAGGAGAGGAAAATACTGATTTCTTTTTGTGACTAAACCAGAAGCATTTCTGTCCCCTCTACTCACTTCCAGTGCTGACTCAGGGACAATGAATACCACAGGCTGATCTCAGCATCTTTTAGATTTCTTGATATACTGAAGGCACAAATGGAACTTTTCCTGTAAAATAATGGCTTACGCTGGAGTGTAAATATTAATGTTAGAGTTGTCTGAGTCTCTCCCAGAATGGAAGCAGGTCTTATAATGTTCCCATCAAAATTGAGTACTTAACAGGGTAGGTGAAATTAGTGTTTTTCTTTTGCTGTCACATATACATTAGTTCATAGAATACTGACTTTGGAACTTCTGAGGCCTCTCAAAATGCCATTATTTGTCATGGCCTCTCCTGGGAGTTTGTGAACTTCCATGCTGGTAGACTGATTGTGTAAAGGTACTGACTATTGCTTCTCTGCTGTAACCAAGTGAAAATGTCTGTCTTGTTTCACATCTGTAGATGTGTAAAGTTACAGCATTCCAGATATTAATCCAGGTTACTGAAGTATGAAAACATTTTATTTACTTTGTGTCCTGCTATAGGGGTTAAATTTGTTCAGATGAAATTCTTCTAAGTTAGAGCCTCGAATTACATTGTGGTAAAATTGTCCACCCAATAATTCCAAACTGTGAAAAGTAATCTTAACAATTGTGTGTTCAGCCTCAGATTAAACCTTATTTTTGCGTGTTTGGAGAGAACACCTTATGTAGTTGTGCTTTAGGAGGTGACTATTTCATTTGCTAACTTGACCTCAGCAGTTTGTTTCTGAGGTAGCTTGTTTGCACTTCAGAGAACACTCAATTTGCTGGTTATTGAAGCTCTTGGTGTGAAGGAGTCTTGGTACAGGACTGTACCATCTCTGTAGTGTCCCATAGCTTCCCACTCCCTGGAAGTGACAAGACTTTAGGCAAACATCTGACTGTAGGAGAATATCCCTTAGGAGCTAGACTTGGAGCTATCATCTTCTGTGAAGGTCTGTGTGAGGTGACCTGTACCAACTTTGTTCCTGCAGACATCAGAGCTGTACTCGACTCTGTTCTAGAAAGGCACTGTTCCTGGTTGTGTTGTAGTCCTCTCAAAGCTGCTATTTAGGAATTAAATGCAGGATAAGGTAATTTTGAGACTTCTTCAGATCTTTCAGATGAATTCTTTGCCTTTCCTTGTGGTTCCAGCCCTGAATACATTGAAAGACTTACAGTGCTTGGTATTGATCATGTTACTGATCAATGGTTGACATGTTCTTGTCTTCAAAGGTGGTCTTAGTGTGTTAGAACATTGTTGGTGTATTAAGGGTGCTGAAGCCAAAGTAAGTGGCTGAGCATTTCCAAAAAATGTTCTGTCATCACGCTTAAAGGAAGGATTTATGGAGAAAAAGAAGACCAAATAATAATAATTAAAAAAGAATAATAGGCTCTCTTGAAAATAAGTGGCTTTTCAGACTGATTCAAACTATCCCTTTACATATGGGGAGACTAGGCAGTACCAAGGGCAAGCTTATACATTTCTTATGGTTTGAGATCCATAGAATCTGATGGTATCCATAGAATCTGATGGTATCCATCCACCTGATCTTGGCAGTAAGAAATATATTAGTATTATTCAAATCTTAGCTGTTAAAGTTGATCTTAAGTATTTAGGCACCAGGAATGCTATGTATTGTGCACTATGAGATTTCCTTTAAAGGCTGATGTAAAGCATTCCAGTAACATGGATAACACTTTAGAATATCACAGAGTTTGGTGCCCTGAACCTAGGTTCCAGAAGATGGGATTCTCAGAAAATGGGTTTAGTTAGTTGGTGAAATTTAATACCTAAAACGCCAACTGCCGGGCCTTTATGTCCAGTATGGTTTAACTTATGGAGTAAGGTCCCTGAGTTCTCCTCTTTCCTTCCACAGGGCAAGCAGGAGGACTTCAAGACGACAATTCTGGAGGGTATGGAGACGGCCAAGCATCAGGTGAGGGTGGCGTTTGATGCTTGCCACATAGTAGCAAGAGCCGCCAGTTAGGGGTTGATGCTTGTAAGTGCGCATGGGTGTGGCTGTCCAGAATTTAGCAAGAGGTACAGGAGTTGTTTACCCACCTGTTAAAAAAGTGAGGAGTATTTTCAAGTTTCAGTTGAGGGCTTTTCCAGCTGTGGGAAAGGACACTGACTTATGTTGAAATGCCTCAGGCCGATCTCTCATCCCTCCACTCCTCTCTGTGTTTAGAGGAGTCCAAACATACAAAAAGATAGCTCTTACCTAGCCAGTTTCTACCACTTAGAATGACACAGAAAGCCCTGGTCTTCAGCACAGTAGACCTTTTTTTCTAATTTGGTGAAGGAACCAAAGGCATGGAGTACCTTTTTGCTCCTTTGTTTTTGCTTTTTTCTTTTGAAAGGGTTTGTTTCAGCTGTGTATCAATGGGTAGCCCAGGAGATTTATCTGTTGGGGAGATTCATAGTCTGCTGCTCAGTAGACTGGATTTGGAATGGCATTTGCCATTGGACCTGTTGCTTGCAGTATTCACTTATTGTTTAATTCACAGAATTGGTCTCTGTACTCTTAAGTACTACTTAAGTGCTATTGAAAATCTGCCTTCAACTCTGCAACTTTTACTCTCACTTGAGGACTGAGGATTAGAGTTTTAAGCAAAGGAGTCAAAGGCTCCAGAACCTAATCTGTACCTACAAGTTGCTCTTTTAAAGCACGTACAACTTGAGGAGACTCATATGAGGGAATGCATCCTTGCTTCTGAAAAAAAGGAGCATAGTTATATGATTTGGATCTTAACACTTGCACAGAATTTCCATCTACTATACATCATGGCCCTCGGGATGTATTACCTATCTCATTTTTTGGCTGGCATTGGCTACTTGGAAGTTCTGCATGTTTTGCATTTTAGATATATGCTGAGAGTATGCTTTAGCATTTTTCTGATTCAGCAACCAAATAACTTTCCTTTAGAGTGTTTTTTTTTATCTGCAGATATTTCAGTAAGTCTTTAAGCGAGCTGCATCCCTCAAGATTTCTTCTGTGGTGAAGAAGACAGCATATTAGTTGCTGATGCTGAATGTCAGGAAGTGGCGTGTGTGTGTATGTGTGAAGAGATGAGAATCCAGTCTAGGCTGAACCATACCTACAGTCCTTAAAGAGTTGTCTGCCCCAAGGAAACCATGTGTAGTTCTAAATTGGTACTCACTTTTATGTATTGCTTTGATGAAACACAAGCATAAGGGTGTGGGATGGGGATGATTTAATCAGCCTAAAGCTGATTAACTTGGAGCTGTGTAGTTGCAAAAGTCAATTCCAGGACTTCTTGTTCCTACAAGATCTTCTGGTGGTAGGGCCAAATAAAACAGTATCTTCATATTCATATCTGATAATAAGTAGGCTTTTTCTAAATTCTTCTGTCAAACCCTGTTGTGTTTGGGTTTTTTGGGGTTTTTTTTCTAAATCCCAGTGCTCATCCAGAGCTATTAGTTTCAAAGTTCAGGTATTATGATAGAAGACATGTAGCGTTAAAAAAAAACAATCCAGTAATTCTTTCCAAGGCTGTTAGGAGTGTCAGTTCTCCGGCTTTTCAATTTGAAGAAAATAAATCATAAAGCTTTCCAAGAAAGTGGTGAGTTACCTTCAACCTGCATATCTGAGTTTCCGGCAGTTGAACACTGCCTGACAGTCCACACTTTTTAGCAAATGCCTGCAAAAGGCTCACTTATTTTAGCATAAGCGTGGGAGAGGTAGACAGGTTCAGCATTTCAAATCTTTAACTGGCCATTCTCTGAGAAACATGTTGCTGAGCTGAGCTTTTTGATAACACTTGATGATCTAGAACCTTAATTAATATTTGTTAATATTAATCAAGTACCAGATAATTGTTTTTTTGAGTTGATTTACATGCAGTTTTTGGAGCTCATACTGCATTCATGTGTAGATGTTTTCACAGCTGGTCCAGTGTTAAACTAGAGGACAACAAAAAGGCTAGGGGATGTTTAACATTAGAGAAGGTGAAGCTCTAGAAGAGCTCAGGTTTAAATTCCTTAGCTGAATACTAGTGTCAAGAAGTGTTGAAGGTGTGTAAACTTTTATTGTTAATTTTGTTTTACTTTCTTGCAGTGCTTTGTAGCTTCTGTTTCTAATTTCCTCATGTAAAATTCCTGTAAATTATTATAGACAGTTTTCTTTACCTTGAGTCAGCATGCAGTTAGTTCTTCTGATCTTGGCTTGTGAATGAATTTTGCTAGAGTCACAACTGTTTCCTTGCTTACATTTTTTTTCTCCCATCTTTGGGATGTAAAAATACTTGGAAGTTAAAGGTGTGTGTTGTTGCACCAGAAATGAAAGAAAACAATTCTTGTCCCCAGCGCAGTGACGTGTTCCTCTGCTTCAGACTTTCACAGTTGCTTTAGTTTGTGTAACACTCTGCAAGCTTACATTTTCTTTGATATTTATTAAAATCTTTTGAACTATTCTAGTTTCAGTGAATTATCTTAAACTTACTCCATTATTATTTTTTTCCCCCATGGAATGTATTGGCTTATCTTTCTAGATTTAATGTTCTCTTCTCTGTCTGTCTGATCTTGAGTCACTTCTTAGGACATAGAAGATTTATTTTGTTCTTGCTGTATTTCATATCTGAGTGCTTCATTATGCTCACTGTGCCAGCAGGATTCTCCTTCTGCACTCTACTTGTGCTATAGCACTTTATGTGGCTGTGTTTTCACTTGTAACTTGATATATCAAATTTATAATAACTTACATGCATATAACTTTGTATAAAAGTGTAACTTTATATATAGTATAACATTCAAATTAGGTTGAGGAATGTAGGGTACATGATTGTATTATTATTTCATTGCCAGTGTTTGATTTGATAGAAGCCATTATGAATTAAGTCTTTCCATAGAGAACATGTCTCCTGTATGTGTTAAAATTAGTCTTTTACATGTGGAACATTTAAAATGAAAAGTCAGAAATCTATAGTGGCTGATTGTAAACTGTACTTGGAGGGTACACAGTAAAAGTCTAGATAGGATTGTATTGCATTGCACTACCTGTTATGAATATATAAAATATACAAAAGGAGAGGTCAAGGTGGATTCCTGTAACTTGAGGAGTTCATTGTAAACTGAACCTAGAAAAGCAGGTGAGAGAGAACTGTAGACATTGTGCTTCTATCTTACAGGTCTCTTGACTTGAACAGGATCCAAAATGTTTTTCATATTCTGGTAGAAACTGGAAACCACACAAATGAGGGACAGCATCTAATCCAGTTGTGATTTATTGAAATTTATATTGTTATATAAAGTATTACGTATGTTACACTGGTATGTGCTCTTGCCCCTTTACTTTTCAAGATTTTTTTGCTGTTTTTTTTTTCCCCTGTAGGAGAGCTTTTTCATTAACCCTAGATGATCCCTGTAATTCAAAGAGCTGTTGACTTAGGAACCTGCATGTCTTGCAGAAAGAACTGATTGAAAGTATGACATGAAATTGGTCACCATAGAACTTGAAGGCTAGGTGCACTGGCTAGGAAGGGTAGTGTAAAAATACTTCCTTAGCAGTTCCTTTTGCAGTGCCTCTAGACAACTTGTCTTTTTGTTGTAGGTGTGGAGGGTGCAGCTTTCCAGAGTAGACTTCCACATGACCGCATGACATCTCAAGAAGCTGCCTGCTTCCCTGATATAATCAGTGGGCCACAGCAGACTCAGAAGGTGTTTCTGTACATCAGGAACCGAACAGTAAGTTTATTGTGAAAGTATTGATGAAAAACGGGTAGTGCATTTGTGTACCTTGCAAAGACTTTGACAGTTACTGTGTCTAACAGTTGGTAAATCTTTGGTTGGTTTGTTTTTGAGGTGATGCAGTTCCATTTCTGATACCCTGTCATGTAAGTTGCTAAGAAAGGTGTTGTCCGTGTTTTGATGGAGGCAATGCTGGGAGGCAACATAAAGAATGTTTAGTGTATTTACACTATCCAAAACAGCTATCAAGACTGCATGATTCAGTTAATACAGCTCTTAAAAAGAAAATAAACAGAAAGCTGGTATGAATGTTCTAGTACTTGATCTCAGCTTAAATATTCGGTCAAATACATTTTTACTTCAAACAAGGCAAACCCCGCAGCTTTTTTTTCTACGGTGGTTAGCATTCGTTTGTTGTAATACTGAAACATCAAGCCAGTCAAGTGGTTTATTCTAAGAAGAAAATAGTTACTGTGCTAGCTTTGATTTCATAACAGAATTTGTAAAATTGAAGAAATGAAACTCTGCTGCTGCATGTTTGTAGCATTTTTGCCCAATTCAAAAAATGCATGAAATTTAAGATATAGAAAGAAGAGGCAATATTCAAATAATTCATTAGAGAGTGATATTTCAAATGGAATAAATGGAATAAAGAATTGAATGAATCACCTGGTAAGTAAAAATGTATTTTGGAAGGATGACAGTAGCTTTTATAAAGGGCAGTTACCCTTTACAGCCCATCTAAGTTCTTCAGAGTTCATCAGAAAGTCAACAAAGGAGATGCAGTTAATGTGTTCTACCAACAAACCCCTAACCAACCAATGAAAAAACCTGCCACAAAACAGTAAAACCTCTTGCTAAATTCCTGTGCAGGGCACTTGTGGTTTAAAGCCCTTAAAGTCTTTTAAAGCAGGCACTGTCCTGTGTATCCATAGAGTCTGAAAGTCAGAGCTTGTAAAGAAGTGGTAATTTGCTGCTCATACTAAATTACTTTGGGAAGTAAAATGAGGACTACAAAAGGTGAAGGCTCTTATACTGTGCGATAAAATAGATTAAATTAATTTAAAAGTAAACTAATGTGAATAATGGAAGTAATTTTATGCAAACATAGAGATATATATATTAAAACATAGATCATGGGCTTTGCACTCTTCCAGCCGAGACCAGAATCTTGGTATATGGTATATAGTACTACCAAATGGTTAGTTCCATACATGGAAATGTTCAGAAGGAATACTGTTAAAAACTAGTTGGAAAACAAGTAGAATGGACTCTGCTAAAGATGAAATTGACTTCAAGTGGCCTCCCAAATTATATGGAAATTCTTTCTTAATTTTTCCTATTCATTATACTTGTGAATTTTGTATCTTTGAGGAGCTGTAAAGTAGTGCAATTTTAGAGAAATACCCAAATAAATTACTGATTCTGGAGTGTAAAATGGTGTAGAGATGGATGACCTAGATCTGTTAACTGTTGTCATCCATGCCATGAAGGAGGTGTTATCTTGGGAAAACAGTTGAAGCCTGTTAAAGCCAGGTTGGATGGAGCTCTGAGCAGCTCTGATCTAGCGGGAGGTGTCCCTGCCCATGCAGGGGAGTTGGAACTCAATGATCCTTAAGGTCCCTTCCAACTAACCATTCTATGAAAACAGTTGAAATACTATTATTCTGTGGCTTTTTTTTTTTTTTCCTAGCATGATGTGACCTAATTAATATTTCACAGGCAGCTCTTCCTTCTTGGGTTTTGAGCTGGGACTGACTTCCAAATGTTCTTTTTTGTGTATACATGGCCAGTGTAGTCCATGGTAGCATTAGTCATGGATTATTAAAAGTGTGAGATAAATAGACTTCATCAGAATACAAGTACTTCCATAGATTTTCCAAAAATAGTGGTAAATTTGATGCCCAAAGGGCGGCCTAATGTTGCAGGCCCAATAAGACATCACAAATACCACACTCGCCAAGCAGGTGGAAGGAGGGCATTCTGGTAATTCCATTTTGTAGCTTTTGTTCTTCCAGTGTGTGTTTTATTGTAGGAGTGATTAGGAGATTTCTAGCTTGATGCATTTCCACTTACCTGAAATGGTGTAGGAAGTTGAAATCAATTACATCTCAACACTGAAAGGTGAAGTTCAGTCTGGCTTGGATAGCACTGCCAACATCCAACTCTTTTTTCTGCTAACAGTATTTGTTTACAAACAGACACATGCAAAAGAACTTTTTTGTATTGCTTAATATAATTTGAATTACTCTTTGTTTAAATACAGCTGCAGCTCTGGTTGGATAACCCAAAGATTCAGTTGACATTTGAGGCAACTATCCAACAATTAGAGGCACCTTATAATAGTAAGTCAAGTCTTCTACTACCAAAACCATACTGCTTGTGTCATTGCTTTTCTTTTTCAGTTTTGGCTGGGGAAGAGTTTCTCAGAATTAAGAGAGGACTTCAGATGGGTCCTTGTTAGTGGAGCACTCATGCACAAAGCTCATGTTTCAAGATTGTTAAGAGTTCATTTGTCTGGTAAAGAAATATATCCTTAGCAGCATTCCAAAAAGCTGGTAAAAAGATGGGTTGTTACAGAAGCCTTCCCACAAATGAATTCACATGCAGCTTCATGGTGATATGCAGCTGTGAGATATTCTTAATGGTAAGATTTTTGGGAAGCATTGAAAAGTTGCCTAAGACTTGAATGGAGGGGCCATGGTGAAAGAAGGCAGCAAAAGAGCAAGAAGTTGCTGCTTGCAGGTGTAGGCCATTCCATTCTTCTCAAAAAAAGATCTCTAAGAACTGAAGAAGAGTGTAGGGAAACCACAAAGAAAGAGTCATCAAAGAAGTAAATAATTCTGAATTGAATGTGGACACACCATGTAGTATTGCAAACTACTGAATTACTGTGTTTATGAAAACTGCAGATGAAGCAGCAGTGTGCCCTGGCACCAGGAGGGCCAGCCCTGTCCTGGGGTGCATAAAGCAGAGGTTGGAGAGATGAGGAGTCACCAACCACGTGAAGCTTAGCAAGGGCAAGTGCTGGATTCTACACCTGGGACGAGGCAGCCCTGGTGATCAGTGCAGACATGGGAACGAGTGGCTGGAGAGCAGTAGGTGGAGAGGGACCTGGGGGTCCTGGTTGGTGGCAGCTGCAGAGGAGCCAGCCCTGCCCTGGCACCAGGAGGTCCAGCCCTGCCCTGGGGTGCATCAAGCAGAGTTTCCCAGCTGGTCCAGGGAGGGGATTGTCCTGCTCTGCTCTGGTGCAGCTTCACCTGGAGGTGCCTGCAGGGTTGGGCACCATGACATCAAGCTATTGGAGAGTGTCCAGAGGAGAGCCATGAGGATGGTGAAGGGTCTGGATGGGATGACTTATGAGGAGCAGCTGAGGTCACTTGGGTTGTTCAGCCTGGAGAAGAGGAGGCTGAGGGGTGACCTCATTGCAGTCTGTGGTTCCTCCCCAGGGGAAGAGATGGGGCAGGTCCTGATCTCTTCACTGCTGTGACCAGTGACAGGACTGGGGGAAATGGCAGGAAGTTGAATCTGGGGAAGTTCAGGTTGGATATCAGGAAAAGGTTTTTCAGCCGGAGGGTGGTTGAGCACTGGAACAAACTCCCCGAGGCAGTGGTCCCAGCACCAAGCCTGCCTGAGCTCAAGAAGCCTTTGGATGATGCTTTCAGGCACATGGGGTGATTCTTGGGGTGCCCTACACAGGGACGGGAGTTGGACTTGATGATCCTGATGGGTCCCTTCCAACTCAGCATGTTCTATGATTCTAAAAATATGTGAGAATTCAATCCTGCAGTAACAGGTTTGCCTAACACTGGCAAATGGCAGTACAGTTCTGTGCAAGATCTCCAGAGTTCTGCAGTCAATTTGAAACAAGGTGTTCATCTGCACTAAACAAACAGAAGCATTTCATGTCCTTTAGAGCTTCTCAGGTAGCATTCAAAACTGCAGAGTGGCATGGAAACACCTTGTGTGGAGGACAGAAGACAACATTGGCCTTCTTCAGGGAAATGGATTCTTCAGTAGGGCAGCTGGGGATGCCGAAGGGGATATGTTTAGTGTGACTTTGTTGGGTTGCTGCTGTGACACTTTTGCTTGTGAGTATGTTTTCAGAACGTACGTGCTGCCAAATGTACAGAATAATCTTAAAACATCACCCTATTTTAGGTGATACGGTGCTTGTCCACAGAGTGCACAGCTACTTGGAGCGTCATGGTCTAATCAACTTTGGTATCTACAAAAGAGTGAAGCCCCTTCCAAGTAAGAAACTTGAAAATTGTTTCTAGTTGCAGTCTTGTTTTCTTGTTCGCTAATTTGTTTGGGCAAATTTTGGAGTGCTTCTTGTAGGATTGCAATGCTGAGAGAAGAACCAGAATGCCATCTGACTGTAGATGTTAATGATTTTTTATTTTGGCCTGGCAAAGCTGTGTGTTTAAGTAAATAACTTCAAGAGGAAAAATGTTGGCAAATCTTCTGTAGATAATTTGGTGACTGTCACTGTTTAATGAGTTATCCTTGTTTCTTGTTTGAATAACAAAAGACCAACACTTTCGTTATGTGCTTATATGATACTTTAAAGTTACAACTGCTGAACTTGTCTGTCCATCTTAGGTATTATTCTTCTAGGGCAGAAAGAAATAAAACTGATACTTTGTGCCAGTGTGATTAAATAGAGTCAGTTTCTTTAAACAATTGTTCTTCAGAAGTATTTTTGCTCCTGTTTTTGTCCTTGTCACAGCTGCACTGGTGTGCAATACTGGTGTATTTCTCCTGTACCTGTCTCATTAAGAAAAACCATGAAGTTTTACTGTTACCTTATGATGTACATAATTACCTCAATTTTCTTTTTGTGGCTCTTGTTTTGTTAAAGAGTTTGTTCTGTCTGAACTACCAATGAGAAGGAAGCTTCTTTTTGTTCTTGGTATCTCTTAAATGCAACTTGAACTCAACTGCTTACTAATGCATATAAAGAGCCTGTACCTTATTTTTCCCTTTCTTTAGCCAAGAAGACTGGAAAGGTGATCATTATTGGTTCTGGAGTCTCTGGATTGGCAGCAGCTCGCCAGTTGCAGAGCTTTGGGATGGATGTCACAGTCCTGGAAGCCAGGGTATGAATGTCTGTGGTATTTTCTTCTAGCTGGGAAATTAACCAGTAACCACACTCAGTACTGGCATTAGGGTAAGGATCCCAGCAGCATGCCCAAGGTCTGTAAGCTTGGGTGTAGAGGCAGTGGGGATGTATTATTAATTACTGGACTTGTCTCGCTGGTAAACAAGTGATTCTGCTGTCACGGGCAGTTGGCCAGTGCTTTCTCAGGGGTGGACTGCATAGTGAGGTGCCAGTGTCACATGCTTACAAGAGTAACAGACTGGAATCTCCTTCCTTTAGAAACGGCTTTTTCACTGGAAAGCAAAATGCAAGTCTGTATGTAAAAAAACTTGCCCATTAAATAGAATAATTGTTTGGAATTACCGTACAGTGTCAGGCAGATTTTTTTTTTTCTTGCACCTTTTAAGCCTACATTAATTCCTTGTTTATTACTGTGTACTTAACATAGGCTTTAAAGTTATACAGAGCTACATTTTGTGTTCATGAACTAGCTGGTTGATCTTCCAGTAATAAAGTATTCTTTCCTATCCAGCCTGAAGTGGAATCTCCTTTTTTTTTTTTTTAAGTGGAAGTTTTTTCATAGAATCTGATGAGTTGAGAACAGCTTGATCCTAATTTAAAATAAATAAATCCCTTGACCTATTAAATTGGAATTGATCTTATGTTTTACTTGCTGACTTAATTTTCTTAGTATATTTGCTTCTTAAATGTTTGTAGCAGAGATTAAAATAATCTCTTTTAAGTTTTTTACAAGAGTAGTGTTTCAGGCACTTCATTTAGGTAGCTACTGCTCTTGTTGCAAGAACTGCTGGCTCTATGTTTCTCAGGTTCTGTAGCACTAGAGCAAAGGAAAGTGCAATGATCTCATTGTTTAGGAGACTCTTGCACACCTTGTGGGTTTGTTTTGGTTTTTTTGGGTTTTGTGGGGGTTTTTGTGGGTTGTTTTTAAGCAGGAAGGAGAAGATCTGTGCTGTTACCTGGGTTTTGTTCTGTGCATCTTTGTTATAATGAGACTTATTTTAAAATAGCACATAATACTTTTCAGTCATTTTTCTCTAGACTGCTGCAACTGTTCTTGATTAGTCTGTGTGTTGAATTTTTTTAAGGCTGTCTGGTGTTTTCTCATGTTACAATTTCAGTGGTTCAGGTTCCTTTGTGTCTGTAATTTTTAGTCTATTAATTTACATGCTTTGGAATTGTTTGTTTAATTGCTAAAAGTAAAACTTTACATTTTTATAGGAAAGCTGTTTGGGATCTTTGCCCATTTGTAGTTGATATTTCTCTCCAATATCATCCTGCTAGCTGGACTGAGAATAGGAAAAGGCAATTTTTTTCCTTAAGGTAGAAAAAGTAGGAAAATAAGTATCATCCCTAAGTCAGCAGTATGGGGTAAGAATGAAGACCTTTTTTTCCCGCTTCTAAAATGAATTGTTGATTTGTGGTTATCTTCTTGATTGATAGCTGGCTCTTCTGCTGAGAACAGATGGGAATAATTGGCTGATGTTTTTTCTAACCCTAAAATTTAATTTACTCAAGCACAGCTGAAGAACAGGTGCTCAAGGCCAGGTTGGATGAGGCTTGTGCAGACTGGTCTAGTTCATAGCAGGGAGGTTGAAACTTGATCTTTAAGGTCCCTTCCAACCTTCACCATTCTGTGATTCTATGATTCTATTACTGGGTTTTGTGGTAGGAAGTGAGAAGATGTAGCTTCATCTATCTATGGACAATGAAGGATTAGTTTTAAAATTTCAGGAGATCCTACTGTCCAAAGCAGGTTGGGAATCTTTTTTATTATTCCCTTTTTTTTAATGCAACTTAAATATTTTATTCCTTAACTTAGGCAAATCAAGTGTTCATTTGCAGATGTTCTTGGAAAAGTATACATTCTGTTTATTGAACCTTTGGATAAGAAAATACTTAGACCATGTTCAGTAGAAGTTTCAGTGATGATATGTGAGTGAGATGTATTGCTGAATGTTACCAGAGGTTTAATATATTGTGCTTTTCAAAGGACCGAGTAGGAGGAAGAGTTGCCACCTTTCGCAAAGGGAACTACGTTGCTGATCTAGGAGCAATGGTGGTAACAGGACTAGGTGAGTTTTTCAAAATATAAAGGAGGGGGGAAGAAAATTGTGGGACAAGATACTACAAATCTAAATCTTTTTCCTTTCGTGTTGAAAATAACCCATTCTTTTGGCCTGTTAAAAAGTAGATGTTCCAGTTCTGCCTCTTTGGCAGTTAGCATTTTTCATCACTGGATCCAGAACAGATGATGGCCCACGCTAAAAACTGGGTGTTTTGTTGTCATGGCTTTCATGGGTCACTGAAGTAATCTCAGGTCATCAAACTGGTTCAGATGCAGTCTTTTACAGTTTACTTGTGCTTAGTGGAATTATTTGCTCTTTCTTTGGCATGCTATCCTTCTGTCTGTCTGTTCCTTCAAGGTGCTATGTGCACTGGGTTTGCTGCACTGGCTGAGCAAGTCTTCCTAAAGCTGTTTGACCCAGCTGCTAGTGGCCACTTAGCTCAGGTCCATGAACTGAATTTTTTGGTAACTCTCTTAGTTGTTCCATTGGATCTTCCAAAGTGTAAGCTTAAACTGAGCACAGAAGTTTGACTGTAGTAAGAGCATTAGTTGAGTAGCTAAGAGCAAAATAAATAAGAGCAAATAAATAGCAAAGTTACAAGACAGGAGGGACCCCAAAGAGAGGGAATATGTTTTTTTCATTTACACAGCAAAAAAGGAGAGGATGGGAATGAAGAGCAGAGCCATTTGGGAGAGAAAGACCTTCTTATAGTCAGGATTTAAACATCAAAAGTTTTTTGTCTAAGTGATTTCAAAAATAATTGTAAAAATAATAGCAAACAAGCCATATTTCTTCCTATTTATGCTGCTTTTTGAGATGTCATCAGGTATTGATACTGGTTACTCAGCCTAGAAAATGGGCAAGTGTTTAGTGTATAATATCCTTCAGTAATGTAGTGAAATAATAAAATACTGTAAATCCTATAATAAAAACCTGAGTTGTGGTAATTGCCAAGACTTAGTGTCTGTGTTATGATTAGACTTATTAAATTGTGTACAGAAACGGTTTACAAAAAGTAGTGACCTTCCAAAGTCCTGGTAAAGCAGAGTTAAGGTCATCTAGTGAAAGACATTAATGTTTTTATCTTTAATTGTTAGGGATGTTTTATTTTCCAAAGAATTTGCCCTTTGCCTCGAATGAGGCAGTTTATACTATGGAGAAAGACATATTCCTGCAGTGAAAGAGACGGTGTGAAGGGCATCCTTCATATTTCTGAATCTGGAAGAGATGTGAGGAGCAAAGACTGTTGAAAGAGTTGAGCTTATGGTTTGGGAAAGCGAAAGACTGAAGTTTGGGGATCTTTTTTGTTGAACTTGAAGCACAAAGTTCTTTAGCCATACTTCAAAACCATATTCTGCTTGTTCAGTCACCTCTCTAAAGATGGGAAGGTATTAGGGTGGCTAAATTTCCCCCTCTATTTTGAACTGAGGCTGTGGGTTTGATTGGATTGCAGAACCAGAGAACGTTGGGAAGCTAGATCTGAAAAACTTTGGGAAAAGTTAATTTTGTGGAGGAAGCCCATGTTGCCTCTTACCCTTTTGTGTCTTCCTTTTCCTTTCCTGTGCTGTACTTACAGAGCAGCTTTGATGCTTAGTGATTCTGGATGCTTAAAGTTGATGCTTTCTCCCCTTTTTATGTTTCTACATGGAATCCCATAGATTGTTTTCTAATCTGTTTAGTTGCACATCTCCCAGGTACAATTGGTATATGTGGTTCATCCTCAGATTGTACTCACTCATGTCACTTGTTGGGAGTTCCACTGGTATTTTTACAGACTAAATCTTTGTGTTCCATCTCTGTCACCACACTTTCAAAAGCTCTTGAAGCTACTTTGCTACTATGGAAGCTTTCCGTGGCTTTTCAAAAACGCTCTACTTGAAAACATTTTTTGAAGATATATTTGCGGCTGTAAACTCTCAATTGTACTAAAGTTGCTGCCGCCCTAGGACTCTGCTTTTATAACCGGCCCTTTTTACATACAGTAATTTAAGTGTTGGTGGGCAAGGGGGTTTTTTTGTGACCTTGTTGCAGTAGTTGCTGTGAAGAGTAGACCTTTTCCTAGTGTTATGCTACTTCACTGGAATGCATTTTGCACTGGAGCTGGTATATTTGGTCTCTGAAATTGCTTTAACTGTGGGATTTTTATCAAATTGCAGACAGACTTTGCAGGAGTACTCTGCTAACTATACAAAGTATTTTTCAGGAGGAAATCCCATGGCTGTGGTCAGCAAACAAGTGAATATGGAATTGGCTAAGATCAAACAAAAATGCCCACTTTATGAAGCAAATGGACAAGCTGTAAGTCTGATACTGTTTTCATGAATGTTTTAGAAAGAAATAGTATCTCAAGTGTATCTGTTACCAAGCAGATAGTCTAGGGAAGAAAGGTTCCAGGAAGAGGGAGTAATAACAATGCATCTCCATTTTCAGACAGTGTAGGAATATTCTAGTATATCCTCTGAAGTGTGGCTATTATTTTAGTCTTTGCAATGGTGTTACCTAATTAAAAAAGACTTCTTTCTGAAGAAGTAAAGACGAAATCAAAATCTCTGCATATAGAATGGGATCTCAATAATTGCAAGTTTTGTGTCCTTTATTTGTGGTGAGTTGGTTTCCTGAAAAAAATGTACCCATTGGAGTTCTGAATAGTTTGGTAAATTCTGTCTGCGCAGCTGCTTAAACTTCTGAATGAGGTATTGATGTCAGCTGTGAAAAGGTAGGCAGCACAAAGACCGAAATGTCGTTTTGCTTTGCTTTCTTCAACCTAACTTCACATTTCTGGGGAGTGTGCATTTTGTAATGCCATTTTCAATTGTCCACCAGGATCTTCACATCCTTTTCTTCAGAGCTGATACCCAGAAGTCAGTCCTCAGCATGTTCTGATGTGTGCATTATTCTGTCACAGTTTCAAGGCTTTGCTTTGGAATTTCATCAGGTTTTTGTCAGCCCATTCACCCAGCTTGTTGAGATTACACTGAGAGAGAAGTTGGGAGGTGGGAGAGCAGATCTCACCTGTGAAGTCTTGAGGCAAAGTAGAATTATTGTTTTAGCCTTTTCCATATAAAATACCTCTA